GGCCTCTTCATTCCCATTCTCTCGATCTATACGTAGCTCCGCCAACATAGACATTGGGGCAAGGGGCTGCACTAGTGTGGATGCCCTACTTTACTTCCTCACAAGGACCAGTGACCTTAAACGACTCATTACTCCTTGACAACGATGCTCCCATTAGAGTTGCAAAGAATGTCGAAGGCCCTACTAGAAAAATGCTCTATAGGGACCCTTTATTAAAGACCAATATAAAAGCAGTCTCTATAGAATGCTATTAGGGACTGATAATATAAAATTTTATTGGATACGGATTAATAATTTTCATTACTAATTATTTGAATAAAGTAGAGAATAAGGCATGGAAAAACTTAAAACCGTGCCTAAAACCCTCCATCATTTCTAGTAAGGCATGAACCATCTCAAAGATAGTGCCAACTAAAGAATTTATACATAGGCTAAATTATTGAAATGCCCCTTTGAAATTTTGGTTTACAGTTTAGGTCATCATGAGATTCTATTGCCCATGTAGTGGTTGATGCCAAGTAACTCGTGCGTATATTACATATTGCCTCCGTGGACGTGCTTAAAATAGGTACGTAGTGCACTGCTCTTGGTTTGCTTTCATTCATTACAAATTGTGAATCCCCCGGCTCTTCTTGTTTTGTAAATTAGACTTGATATTTGCAGCTGTGGAACTGGATCCTTAATTTTTTGAGAATGTTTTTGTAGTTGTGGAACTTGTTGATGCTCTTTTTGGGAGGTCAACTTAGATAGGGAAGTCTTGGGGGTCTTCAGCAGGGAAGAATGTGAGGATCTTGGGTATTTGGAGAACCTGCAGAAGACAAAGTGGAGGAAGAGGTTGTCAAGCTTCGAACACCGGTGTGGTGCCTGCCGAAGGCTCTCCGATGCTTAAGTAAGCTATAAGTAGTAATTTTGGCAGAGTAACAGTAAATGTGAGAAAATAGTTACCCCCTTTGTCTTGGGTACTGTTCCCTATTTATAGGGAGGTGAAAATGGAAGGCTTGCACAAAGTTTCGATGTGGGACTTTCTGCAAGTTGCTGTGGTGGTGACACGTGTCCCTGGAGGCTAGGTTCGGCAATTGGGAGCTTCGGCAGGTGTTGGTCGCCTCGGAAGAGCGTCTTCCTTCGGCAGTGAAGAAGGAGTGTCTCGTGTCTGCCTTGATGCTAGTCGTGTTTTTGCTAGATATGCTCGGTTGATTATGGTGTAAACAGAACTAGTATCTTCATATATAATATTTGGTTCAATGGCAGTGGTATTTGTTTGTCAATGATATTCAATCTGCATAATTTTCAGGATTGCTTACAGTAAGAAGGCCCTACTCCTAGGCCAATTAATGATGAAGCGGCAAAAGTAAGGTATATTAATGCCTATTGTAATAATTAAATGGAACAATCAAATAATTATTGCAACTACTCATTACCGTATGATGGACGTTGTGTGTTTTATGCAATGGTGTTTTGTAGGATGAGTTGGAGGAACTTGAGTAGAGGGAGCGGGATAAACAACCATGAAGGAGCAAGAAATGTTGCAGAGGTACAAAGTCCATTGTTGAATGTTTTGGTTTGGATGCAAATAGGTGGGGAAGCTATAAGTAATAGGACTAACAAAAAGATTGAAAATTGGTTTATTGGCTGACTTTGGTGCCATTTTGTATTTATTGGGTAAAAAATATTGAAGAAAATATTTTGATGTGCTGGTGTAATTAAATTTACTTGTTGACCATAATGGCATCCTCTAGATTCTATTATTTGTTGAATACATTAATGTGACTTGGTAAATATGATTGAATTGTGCCCAATTAAAATATTGGATAGCAGGGTTTTGAGAGAATGGAAAGGAAATTAATTGGAAACGGCCAAAAAAACCATAAATGTTTTAAAGGCACGGATGGAGGATGGGTTACAAATATATAATAAAACAATAAAATAATATAAAGGCACTGATATCTGTTCCTATGCAATGCATTAGCATTTGGAATTGATCTACGCGTATTGGGTGCTAGGAATGTGGGATTCATTGCAAAAATTAGGCATGGAGGCTTATAGTCATGGACAGAATATCAATAGAGGACCCCTTTAAAAGATACGGATATACATCAGTCTCTAATACTACAATAGACACTGTTTTCAATCCCCAAAGAAGGCAAAAGAGTGATAGCACTCAGTGTCTTTTGAACCTTTTTTTAGTAGGGTGTTTGTAGCTTCTGTTGTAGATTTTGGATACTTCTTGGCCAAACACAAAAAAATAATATTGAAAATTGGTGAATGTTTTGGTTTGGATACAAATAGGTGGGGAAGCTAGAAGTAATACGACTAACAAAAATATTGAAAAGTGGTTTATTGGCTGACCTTGGTGCCATTTTGTATTTATTGGGTGAAGAATATTGAAGAAAATATTTTGATGTGCTGGTGTAATTAAATTCACAATGGCATGCTCTGGATTTTGATGCTTTTTTTCATGTTCTGATTGTACTAGAGTAATGAATGAATGTGCTATTGTTAAATTTCTTTGACCTAACTCCGTTTTAAAGGACTAAATATATACTAGATTCTATTATTTGTTGAATACATTAATGTGACTTGGTAAATATAATTAAAATATTGGACAACAGGTTTTGAGAGAATGAAAAGGAAATTAATTGGAAACGGAAAAAAAGAAAAGAAAACCATAAATGTTTTGAAGGCACAGATTGGGGATGGGTTACAAATATATAATAATATAAAGGCACTGATATTTGTTCCTAGGCAATGCATTAGTTACGGATGTATTTTTTTTTAATTATTTTTTTTATTTTTTTGAGGACCTTTCTTATTGAGAGAGGCGATAGCATACTAAACTCACACACACTACACGGATGCTAGGACTCGAACCCAGGACCTTGCCTGAGGGAGTAAATACTCCAAACCACTACACTAGTGGGTCCTTTGCAGTTACGGATGTATTTGGAATTGATGTACGCTAATTGGGTGCTAGGAATGTGGTGAGAGAGTCTTCAAAATTTGATGAGGTAAATGCACTGATGGTTTCATAAATAGAAGCATCTCTTTTTAACTTCATTTCTTATAAGATAGACAAGAGTGAAAAGAAAAGAAAAACAAATGTCAATATACCATCCTAGTTCCTTTGATTTATTTTATCAACGGCAAGTGCATATTAAATTAGTTATGATAGAAAGAAGCATACATGTAGTGTTATTGTTTTCTTTTTCTTTTTCCTTTGTTTTGACAATCTCGACAGTACGAGCGAAATTTATTGAAGAAATAAAAGAGAAACACCTACAAGGGACAAAAAGACTGCGAATTGGGTGCTAGGAATGTGGTGAGAGAGTCTTCAAAATTTGATGAGGTAAATGCACTGATGGTTTCATAAATAGAAGCATCTATTTTTAACTTCATTTCTTATAAGATAGACAAGAGTGAAAAGAAAAGAAAAACAATTGTCAATATACCATCCTAGTCCCTTTGATTTATTTTATCAACGGCAAGTGCATATTACGATAGAAAGAAGCATACATGTAGTGTTATTGTTTTCTTTTTCTTTTTCCTTTGTTTTGACAATCTCGATGGCACGAGAGAAATTTATTGAAGAAATAAAAGAGTAACTGTAAGACCCGTGTCTTGGGGAAACAAGAATGGTGAGCAATCCCACATCGCTCGGGGAGGGAAAGGTGAAGTGCTTTAAATGTGTGGGCACTTCTCTTCCTAGCACGAGGCCTTTTGGGAGCTCACTGGCTTCGGATTCTTAGGAACTCCGAAGTTAAGCGAGTTGGGGGCCAGAGCAATCCCAGGATGGGTGACCCACTGAGAAGTTGCTCGTGAGCTCCCAGAAACAAAACTATGAGGGCAGAGAGGGGGGCCCAAAGCGGACAATATTGTGCTAGGGGAGTTGGGTCGTGACAGTAACACCTAGAGGGGACAAAAAGACCCAAAGCCCTTCGTGAGAGACCTCAGAACACAAAGTGAGTAAAGCACACTAATACAAAACACGCCAAACCAAATAAAAAACTAGCAAAAGCAACAACTACCTTCTCTTTGATGTTGTCAAATAAATTAAAATATGCATATCTCCAAGACTTTTTTAGGACCAACGTTCCACAAACAGCCCAAAAGCCTACAATGAAACCAAGTGCCATGCTGACGTGAAACCAAAACCCTTCGTTATCATCTTTACTGTGATCTTTTGAAGTAAAAGTATGTCTTGAACGTGTATCATCTCCAGGGCAAACAGTTAAAAGAGGAGGCCCACACAATAACTTATTGTGTTCATAAATAGATGGATCATTGAGGGTTTCGAGTTGGTTGCCCGAAGGTATTTTTCCAGTCAAGTTGTTGTAGGACAAATTCAAGTGAGATAGGGAGGTCAAACAAGATAAATTTTTAGGGATATACCTGAAAGGTGGTTGTGTGAGAGATCAAGAGTTTCAAGCCAATGTAATTTTCCGATGCTTGAAGGGATCTCTCCAGTTAATCGATTCATCGACAAGTTCAACATACTCAAGTTAACCATACTACCTACTTGTTCAGGGATTTCACCTTCAAAATTGTTTGACGAAAGATCAATCATGTCTCCCCAGGCGGTTAACTGGTAATCCTCATATTCGAGCTCTTTCCCTTTTGATATTATTGTTGTTTTTCCATAATATGATTCAAACCTAATGGAATCATCATGGCATCGACCACTATCTTCAACTAGACAAGTCAAACTTTTCAGACACTTGGAAATGGTCCCTGAAAAGTTGTTGTGAGCACGATCTAGGACGTGAAGGCATGGAAGATTGCAGAAATGGTGG